GCAGATTGGGTTTATTTGTTCGCAGAGTTATAAGTGGTACACAAATGTTTTTCCCTCTTCTGGACATTTCCCGCTCAAAGCTTATAATTTGTATAAGTGAGCCCAGAACAAACCCAGTACGGCGAATTCTGTTTTTCTGTTCAGCAAAAGTATTCAAGTACCCGGAAAAGCATCTGCAATTTACCGCCACAAAAATTTCAACAACTACTGCTCTCTGAAGCATGGTGTCACTTTGGTAAAAAATGCCTGCTTTTTTTTGCTTTGAAGAAAAAGGCTAGAAGGGGTTACTTGTGCCATACAAGTAACGCCCCCGGGAAACGCAGAGCCCCCTGTTTTATGTGTGAGGAGTGCAAAAAATCCCTGTGCATGAACCATGTTTTTAAAGAGTTCCCCCAGGCTGCAGAATTCTAGAAAAATTTCCCGTGACTGTATAGTGTATATAAAAAAATAGAAAAATAGTAATAAAAAATTCATATCGTTTGTTTGTGTAAATTTTTCTGTAAAAAAATATGACAAAGTGTTTACGCCCTTTTTGTGTGTATTGAAAAAAAAATAACTTACAAAAATATATCATGTTGGCCTCAGAGGCCCAAAAAATTACTCAGAAAAAAAAAAATTGAAAAATATTGGGAAAAAAATTTCATAAAAAATTAAATAGGAAAATACGGGTGAGGCATCGGCGATGTTACCATATGTTGTTCAATTTTTGGAACTTCCACCTCCATATCTCGGAAGTATTGACGTTTTAAAATTTTTTTTTTTTGCCCATAATGTTTAGAAAAAAAAAAAACTCTATTTTTTCATAAAAAAAATAATTTTTTTTTTTTTTTAAAAATTTTGGCCCACCCCGGAACGGTTTGGAGAGGGCCTGTCGACCTCAAAGGGTTAAGATTCCCTGAGTGGGGCGCAACACTGTATTGTACATGTTTCAGAACGGCTTGTTTCAGTTGGTCAGGGTGAGTTTTCAACAAAACTTTGAAACTCATTCCACATTCCACACGTCCTTAACCCCTTCAGGGTCCAAGGCCCAAATCTGAAGTGGTGCCCCAGTGTCCAAGAATTTAAAAAAAAAAATTGTTATTTTTTCTTATGAAATGGTAGAGAATCTTTTTGTGAAGGTAATAAAACAAAAAGTACGAAATTTGATGGAAAATTGACAAAATTATGCTCTCGCGAATTTTGATGTGTCAGCGATATTTACGAATTGGCGATTTTGCCGACTTTGACTCCCATTTTAGGCCAATTACATTATTCCAGTCAACCAAATTCTTAGCTATTTCACTAGTATTACTTCTACTCTATCGATTGAGCACAAGAAATCACCAAGTCAACTGTTTCAACTACAAATTAAAGTGATCGGAAATTGTTAATTTGGCCAATTTAACACAAAGTTCAAAATATTCCAATTTCAAAATAGGGTCCAGAATAAACAATGTAGGTATTCCTGGAACTAAACTAACATTTCCTCTGTTCATTAGTTACGTTTTGAGGCTTTACAAATAAATTCCATTTTGATTTTTTATTCACATAATGAATTTTTATTCACACCAAAAAATAGAAGATTTACTGTTATGCAATACTGTAATAATTGTATAAATATCATCACCATATTTGTGAATGCATATTAGACCCACCAGCTGCTGTGTATTAGACGTGTGAGGTCGTTTGTTTACTCTTGAATATCGGCAAAAATTTAACATTTCTGCTACTTTGAGCTCAGTTTCAAGCCATTTCCAGTGCTAAAACCAATCAAAATTATCTCTATTTCTGTAATACGTCTTCCATTCTATCAAATGAGACCAAGAAATCGCAAATAGAACTATAAAAACCATACGAAAAAACACTGCAAGTCGCTGTTTTAATCGAAAAATCATGATTTCAGTTTTTTTCTCTCATTATACACAGCGTGCTGCAGGATCTGTTTTATGTGGTGCACACATACCACATAGATGTATTCTCTCATATCTAGGCCCAAATGTACCACTCACAGTTTATCAGAGTGAGCTGAGCTCATGACGTAGATCTACGGTTTGGACCTGAACGTAAAGCCGTAGATCTACGAGACGGACCCTCAAAGGGTTAATCACTGAAGAAGGCACCTCATCCACTCCCTCTTCCTCCTCTTTTGAAGCAAGTTCCTCAGCTGTGGTCTGATGCTGTTCCAGTTGAAGCTCTTGCAGTTCGTCAGTGGTTAGCTCTTCCCTGTGGTCCTCCACCAACTCTTCCACATCCCCGTCACTCACTTTATTTACCAAAGGGCTTGCACTAGCTTTCCTTGGGTCCATGATAACTTATTTAGCAGTTGCAAGCACAAAAAACAATGGATTACAGTGGGCCCTCGACCAGCGATGGCATCGATTAACGATAAATCTGACTAGCGATACATTTTATCGCAAAAATTTTGCCTCGATTAGCGCTAAAAAACTCGACCAACACTATTCGTTCCGTCTGAGACGCGTCCACTTCTGGCCAGTGTTTACAAGCCAGCCAGCCACAGCAGTCGCTTCCAAGCATACAATCGGAACATTTCATATTATCACAGCCTTTTTAGTGATTGCACCTGCAAAATAAGTCACCATGGGCCCCAAGAAAGCTTCTAGTGCCAGCCCTACAGCAAAAAGGGTGAGAATTACTATGGATATGAAGAAAGAGATCATTGCTAAGTATGAAAGTGGAGTGCATGTCTCCGAGCTGGCCAGGCTGTACACAAAACCCCAATCAACCATCGCTACTATTGTGGCCAAGAAAACGGCAATCAAGGAAGCTGTTCTTGCCAAAGGCGCAACTATGTTTTCGAAACTGAGATCGCAAGTGATAGAAGATGTTGAGAGACTCTTATTGGTATGAATAAACGAAAAACAGATAGCAGGAGATAGCATCTCTCAAGCGATCATATGTGAAAAGGCTAGGAAGTTGCATGACAATTTAATTAGAAAAATGCCAGCAACTAGTGGTGATGTGAGTGAATTTAAGGCCAGCAAAGGTTGGTTTGAGAGATTTAAGAATCGTAGTGGCATACATAGTGTGATAAGGCATGGTGAGGCTGCCAGTTTGGACCAAAAAGCAGCTGAAAAATATGTGCAGGAATTCAAGGAGTACATAGACAGTGAAGGACTGAAACCTGAACAAGTGTTTAATGGTGACACTGACAATGTTGTGAAACACTTTAGGAATGTCATAAAGGAACGGGAGGTACAGGCCTCTATGGGCAGATATGTTGTGCGACAGAGGTCCAGAGACTCTCAAGCTGGTCTTAGTGGCATTAAAAGAAGAGGGAAAGTAACCCCGAAAAAGGACTTGCTACCTCAAGTCCTAATGGAAGGGGATTTCCCTTCTAAACACTAAGACCATCAACACACTCCCCTCTTCCCATCCCATCAATCATCACCAGATCTTCAATAAAGGTAAGTGTCATGTAACTGTGCATGTTTTCTTCAGTTTGTGTGTATTAAAATTAATATTTCATGTGTTAAATTTTTTTTTTTTTTCAATACTTTTGGGTGTCTTGCACGGATTAATTTTATTTCCATTATTTCTTATGGGGAAAATTAACTTGACAATTATTTTGACTAACGATGAGCTCTCAGGAATGGATTAATAGCGTTAGCCGAGGGTCCACTGTATTATGAAATGTATGAACCCGCGGGGTGATGGTCAAGTGTTGGTAAACAATGGCACACTGAGCGTGAATGGCATGGGAGACTGGCTTTGTGTGTGCGGTGACGGGCAGATGGGTACTGGACAGTCGCCGAAACATGAGTTTTTTCACGTAACTCGAGGCCAAGTTTTTCCAAAAAAACTCACCGAAGGTTGAATTTCACGAAAGTCGAGGCTGCCGAAACTCGGGGGTCCACTGTATATTCTAGTAGTAGGATGGTAGACAGCAACCGCCCAGGGAGGTACCACTGTCCTGCCACATGAGTGTAAAACAACCTGTAATTGTTTTACATGATGGTAGGATTGCTGGTGTCCATTTTTCTGTCTCATAAACATGCAAGGTTTCAGGTACGTCTTGCTACTTCTACTTACACTTAGGTCACACTACACATACATGTACAAGCATATATATGCACACCCCTCTGGGTTTTCTTCTATTTTCTTTCTAGTTCTTGTATATTTCCTCTTACCTCCATGGGGAAGTGGAACAGAATTCTTCCTCCGTAAGTCACGTGTTGTAAGAGGCGACTAAAATGCCGGGAGCAAGGGGCTAGTAACCCCTTCTCCTGTATATATTACTAAATGTAAAAGGAGAAACTTTGGTTTTTCCTTTTGGGCCACCCTGCCTCAGTGGGATACGGCCGGTGTGTTGAAAGAAAGATATATACATTTTTTTTTTTCAACAAACCGGCCGTATCCCACTGAGGCAGGGCAAAAAGAAAAACAAAAGTTTCTCTTTTTGAATTTAGTAATTTATACAGGAGAAGTGGTTACTAGCCCCTTGCTCCCGGCATTTTAGTCGCCTCCTACAACACGCATGGCTTACGGAGGAAGAATTCTGTTCCACTTCCCCATGGAGATAAGAGGAAATAAACAAGAATAAGAACTAGAAAGAAAGTAGAAGAAAACCCAGAGGAGTGTGTATATGTATGCTTGTACATGTAAGTGTAGTGTGACATAAGTGTAAGTAGAAGTAGCAAGATATAGTGTGTTTATGAGACACAAAAAAGACAACAGGAATTCTTCCATCAAATATAGCAATTACAGATTTCCATTTCACACTCACTTGGCAGAATGGTAATATCCCCTCTGGGTGGTGCTGTCTACCAGCCTACTACCTAGGTTATATTTTTTATTCTCAGCAAAAATCTGCTGATTTAACCTAATTTTTTTTTTTTTTTTTTAACTTCCTCACCACTCTTTTTACCTTTCTTTTCTCTCCACGTTAATTGCTCCCTATGCTGATGTTTTCTCCCTTATGTAACAACCCACTGACTGATTTACTGATCATGACAGTCAAGCTTTATTTATATTATTAATACTTTCTGATTTGTTTTCAATAGGCTCCTGCTAATGAAGCAATGTCTCCAGTGATTAAAGATGCAACCAGTGGTGATAATAAGAGTCTAGGCAGCAATGCTTCCATCCGCACCTCAATATTCCAGGGAGATGGAGATGATGGAGTTATTGCTGAAGAGGAGACAGGTATTTGTTTTGCTCTTTAACATTAAGTAGCACATTGGCATTATCATTCATAGGCACATACACTTGCTTGAGCATACTGATGTGTGCACAATTATGCATGATATACATATGTGGACTGAAAAAAGGTATACTTTAGCCCCTTGATTAACAGACCTCAATTTAACAGATTCTGGATGCAATGGACAAATATATTCATCAGATCCAATTGACCAAATCAGTTGAATCCAATTTTATTCCTAGTGGTAGTGCGCCCAATAGTCTCCGTATCTGGTGAATCAAATGTGTTGTCTGGCCTTTGTTTGTCAGTGGTAGGTGTCCTGTAGTCTCTGCAAAGTGGCTGTGTCCAAGACTGATCTGTTTACATTGTTAATCAGGCTATAGGCTGCACCATCTCAGTTTGTCACTGTCCATGTGCACTTTCATGTGGTCATCATTTAGTCTCTAATTTTCCCTTGATTTACAATGATTTTTGTTACATTATCAGGTTCAATGCTATTAACAATGGCCTCTAAAGCAGGTGGTGGTGCCACAAGATGCATGTGAATCTGTTTGTCAATCAGAAACTTATTAATAAGGAGGGTGGAGTCTGGTTTCTTCAGTGCCATGTGTGTGTGAGAAATGTGGTGTAAAGAAAAACTATCAGATACTAAAAGCAAGGGAAAACTTACAGCATATGCTGTTAAGTTTAGTATAGATGCTAGTCAAACAAGGTTCACCATTTGGTCCTAGGAAGTATATCAAAATGGCCCATGTTAAAAGGCTTGAAGAAGCAGTGTATAAATGGGATGTTCAACAGCACTTTCTTTGTGTTAACATTCATGGTATTAATCTTTGGCTTATCAGTAATAGGCCAGGAAAGCATGTGGTCATAAAACTTCAGGAAAGTGACTGTTGGCTTTGGCACTTCCTTAATTGCCATGGCTTGAATAATATAAAGACTTGTGGGGAGGCTATTGGATAAAGTTGAGTCATTCAGATTAATGTTCAAATTCAAAGTTTATTCTCTATAAGGATTACAATGCTGAGTTTACAGAAATTTGGTTATTGTGTGGTTTACATGTAGTAAAATTGTGATTACAGAGTGTACCACTAGAACGCTTAGCATGGCTAGGCATTTTGGGCATACTTAGTTTTATTCTTAATTGTAAAATATTACAAATTATGAGGTAAGTTGGTATTATGGCTAAGTGACTAAATACTAGTTTGTGAGTTTAGCAATGTGAATGCTTTTGTTTTGGCACAGTACATAGTTTCAGTATTGGAGTATCACAGGATTCATTATTTTAAGATTGAGATTAATATTTCTGTTTATGGTCAAATGAGTGAGTGTAAGTGTGAACCACCAGGTGGTATTCGTGTAGTTAGTTGACGGGGTGTATCAGGGAGATAAGATGTTTTCTAATGGTAGTTTTGAAGGTGATGAATGTGTCTGCAGTTCTAGAGTTCTCAGGTAGGGTATTCCAGATTTTAGGGCCTTTGACATACATTGAATTTTTGTAAAGGTTTAGTCGGACATGGGGAATGTCGTAGAGATGTTTGTGTCTGGTGTTATGCCTGTGGGTTCTGTCACAACTTTCAAGAAAGCGTTTTAGGTCAAGGTTGATATTAGAGTTTAAGGCCCTGTAGATGTAGATTGCACAGTAGTAAGTGTGGATGTACTGAACTGGGAGTAAGTTTAGGTCTATGAAGAGTGGGGGGTGTGTTGCCAGGGATGGGATTTAGTGATTATTCTTACTGCAGCTTTTTGTTGGGTTATTATTGGCTTTAGGTGTGTTGCTGCAGTTGATCCCCAAGCACAAATAGCATAGGTGAGGTATGGATAAATAAGTGAGTGGTATAGTGTGAGAAGGGCATTTTGCGGCACGTAGTATCGTATCTTGGAGAGGATCCCAACCGTTTTGGATACTTTTTTGGTTATATGCTGGATATGGGTGCTGAAATTCAGGTTGCTGTCAAGGTATAAGCCTAGGAATTTTCCCCCATTATTTCTGGTAATTAGAGTGTTGTCAATCTTAATGTTAATTTGTGCATCTCCTGCTCTGCTACCAAACATAATATAGTAGGTTTTGTCAGTGTTAAGCGTAAGTTTATTGGCTGTCATCCAAGTCGATATTTTAATCAGCTCCTCATTCACAATGGTGTTGAGGGTGGCAAAATTAGGGTGAGAGATAACATAAGTCGTGTCATCAGCAAAGAGAATGGGTTTCAGGTGTTGGGATATGTTTGGAAGGTCATTGATGTATATGAGGAAGAGCAGGGGACCAAGGACACTTCCCTGTGGAACTCCAGTATCAAGTGGCCGTGTTGCTGATGCTGTGTCTTTAATGGTGACGTACTGATACCTATTAGTAATGTAAGAATGTAAGATGTTAAATGATCTAGTAGACAATGAGAAGCCCCTTTTATCTCAGCTGTGTAATGCTGATAGGACTAATCTCTTTTGGCATTCATTTCTTTCTAGCTCAATAAAGACTGCTTCTCAGTATTATGCTGTGCTGATCCTGACAGTATGATTTGCTCTGTCAGTTGTGAAATGAGATTTGCAAACATTGTTCTGTTTCTTGTCCTGGAGTGTAGCTGCAAAAGAACAGTGCCATATCTCAGAGTACTTACACAACAGGGAACAACATTGCAATGCTACATGGAAGTAATTCACTTTGTCCAACATTTTTGGGTTATCCTAGGTATCTACACATACACTGCTATGTATAATAATTTATGAAACTTTTTGTGTGCCTATACCTGAATAAACTTTCTTAAAGTACTGTATATCACTTGTTTGATCCTCTGAAGGAGATCCCAGTACCACTACTACAGGTTTCAGGAAGCTCATATGGAGACAGAACAAGTGCATTCTGCTTCTCCAGGCTTGTGTTGAAAAAAATCTGCTAGCAGTATTTGTATATCCCTGTGTTGTAATAAAGAATATAAAAATCACTCAAGAAATATTAAAACCATACACACATCCAGGGAAGTGGGGAGATGGTTATAATGGCATCCCTATTCTTGTAGCAGATCGTTACTTTTCACTTTCCTGTCAAAAACTGGGGTTACTAATGCCATGTTTGCTTTTATTCCCTTTTCAAGAATTGATGCAGCAAAAGAAAAGAGGAGGCCTAAGCAACATGAATCTCAAAGGATTGTCCAAGATTCTCAGTCCAACAAGGTCATTCCATGGGGAACCCAGTGCATCATCATCCCCAATAAAACACAGGTGTGCAAGCTGTACATAATGAAATTAACTATGCCAACAGTTTCAAACACCTTGGTGCCTGTTGCTCTTTAATTAGTTTTTTGGAATATAGTACTAACACCCATAATTCCACTTAATGTCTAAAAGCACATTGTCAATGTCTAAAAATTAAGATTCAGAGACAAATAAGCTTTTATATAATAATGATGCATGGAAAGTGTTCCAGTGCTACCTTAGTCAGTGATAAGCTGCATAAGTAAGAGCTGTAGAGTAATAAGAGTAACTTGAAAAGTAATAAAGAAATATTTGTTTCTTAGTGCAATACAACTTTGAGTTGTCAACACTAAATCCGATTAGAGCGATGCTTCTCAGAGTATTAATATGTCCCATGCTTGTAGTTTTATCCCCTTTTCATTATTTTTTGTTGCTGACTTTCTCAAAAATAATTGCTCTTCCTTGGCAAGGTGCAACACAATCGGTGTTACTGTCTTATCAGTTTATCAGATTTTTGAACTGTCATCAAAGTTACTCAAATATTTTCTGTCCATTGAAAGAGAGAAAAATTTAAACTTTTGAATAACACTCGACCCATTTGCTAAAATTTTATGCTAGGTCTACCTTTGCAACAAATATTTAGCACACTTAGGCATATAAATATATACATGAACACACCCACACATTGTCATATGTATGCCCACCTATGTATGCACATGCACATACATCTCCACAATTAGACGTGCACGTTCTCACTCATGTACACACATAAAGGGGTACCTAAATGCAGACAAAGAGCAGTGGTGCAGCCACTGGGGGGGCTAATTAGGCTAAAGTCCTCCCCTTCCAGATACAAATACTTTTTATTTTATTTTTGATTAATTGGTAAGTTTTACTGCAAATTGACCAGTAACCACAAAAACATGATAGTTTAAGAAATTTCACAAACATATTGGAAGTCGTATGTTTTTTTCAACGTCTTTTGATTTTTAAGCTCCCTTCCCTAAGACTGAAATCCTGGCTGCACCACTAGACAAAAGTATGTTGACATATACGTTACAGGTAAAGCACTTAGGGTCAAATTTTTAAGGAAATTAATCATATACTGTTTGAAGTATATATCATTAATTGCATTGAGTGTTTCTGCTGATTTCAGCTAATGCAGTTCTCTGTAAACAGCGGAACAGTATGTTAAGTTGTGCAAGTGCTGACATTTCTTTAAAATACTTTATAAAAAAGTTTAAAAGCCAGCTTTCTTAGAACAGAGGCCACTTCATTTTCTAAAAAAAAATAATTTCTAATATGCCTTTTCTTAAAAGTATCAGTTTGTTTAATCAAATTTGCTACCTAATTAATGTAATCTTTCAACTGCTGTTAAACTAATAACTAGTAATAAATACAAAAAAAAAATAAAATTTATACAGGACTGTAAGATAAGTTAACCCGTAAACGGTCCAAGCAGATCTACGTTCACATGTGTAGTGCTACAAAAGTAGATTTACGTTTTTTTTACCTATTTTCAAATATAACAAAAAAATAAAAAGTAGATCAAAGTTTTTTACAGATTTTCAAATGTAAAAAAACAAAAAGAAGATCTACTTTTTTTACATACTTTCAAATGTTGAAAAAATGTATATATACGTTTGGACCGTTTACGGGTTAATAAGGCTTTAAAATAATATAAAATACCATAGTTACCCCAAAAGTTAAATAATGTGCTGCAGTGTGATGGATGAAGTGTTCCAAATGGAATACATACTATATATCAGAATTATTTCAAGTACTGGCTTCTCTTGAATGAGCTTGTATAATGTTGATGCTAAGAAGTGACACTGCAACTTTGGGTAACACAGGTTCTTAATTTTTTACTGCAACAATAGAGTAGCAAAAGGGTCTCGACAAACTAGGCATATTTGACTGCTGTGATCAACAGAGAGAGCTATTCCATGTTTTTGACATCCCCTTTCCTTTACTTTGGTTGTGGGAGGTATGTTGGCATAAGTTGCAAAGGAGTGAGTGAGATGTATGGATGTAGGAGAAATTTGTATGAGCATGTAAAGGAGTGGAAGGGAGTTGTATGGGTGTAGGGAATTTTTTTTTTTTTTTTTTTTTTTTTAAGTTGTAGGAGTATGGGAGTAAATCATAGTGGAATGTAGGAGTATGGGAGTAAATCATAGTGGAATAATCACAAATGCATAGATCACCAGCCATATAAGCAAGTTTACAGCTGGGTACATCACAAACTAGACCAGCAGCTTTAACTTAAAACCTGTAACAGGCTTGTGATCCACAGTCAAATGGCTTCAAACAGCCAAAGCTTGAGATAAGTAGTTCAAGATGCAGACCTCAGTAGGAGCAGGGTTCAGGAGCTTAAGATGCAGTTTCAACAAGATTAAGAGTGGCAGCTTATTCTGTAGAGGTGTGATATCTCATAGGTGAAGCTCAACCTTTTCAGATGTTGGCTCAATAAATGAATTGTGAGGATGAGAGCTATAGCTCAGTGCCTTCAACAGGCCCTTGAACTGAGAGTGAACCCTCTTAAAAACTGCTATTTGAAATAATAATGAAGAGGCCTTCTCAAGATACATATTTGAATTCAATACCCTCAAGAGGATCAAGAACTAAATGGGAACCTTCCCAGCCAGCTTAAGTTTAAGATTAGTGTCAAGCCTGAAGCTGGAATCCTGTATAGTCTGCAGCCAAACAAACAAACGGGCTTCCACATGGATTATATGCAGCCTTTGTGGAAATTGGGCTCATGCCCCCTGTGCAGACATCCAAGAATTATCTACAAGAGGTATTAAATCAGGAAAGTGTTTTTGGTATGCCCAAATGAGATCAATCTGTGGACTAAAATCACATCGGTATTAAAAGAGGATAACATCAAAGCAGCCTTCATAGAAAACCTGGAAGCATTCTATAACAAATGGGAAAATAAAGTCTGGGCTGGATGGTGCTATCACCCTTGGTACAGATGCTGTCCTGGCTGACAGTAACTGTATGACTGGACATGCTGGCCAGGTAGCCAGGAACTGTAAGGCTGGAGGTGCTGTCCTGGTAGACAGTTACTGTGAGGCTGGAGGTGCTGTCCTGGTAGACAGTTACTGCATGCTCAAGGCATATTCCTTTAAGAAAAAGGAGGAGTAGATGTAAAATAGAATGAGACAGGCGCTCCCTTTACAGGCTACGGAAAAGAATAACAGAGTGACTAAAAGAGGCCAATATATCTGCAGTGCATAGGGAGACACTGGTCAGAGAAATAGCAAACATCGAACTAAAGCTAAAGGAACCTTTAGGAGTCAGGAATCACAGGAAGAACTAAAAGCCATAAATGAAATCAAAAGAAACCCAAAGTATTTCTTTTCTTATGTCAATTCAAAGTCGAGAACAACATCCAGTATTGGGCCCCTACTTAAACAAGATGGGTCCTACACAGATGACAGCAAGGAAATGAGTGACCTATTCAGGTCCCATTATGACTCAGTTTTTAGCAAGCCACTAACCAGACTGAGAGTCAAAGATCAAAATGAATTTTTTATTAAAGAGCCACAGAATTTGGTAATCACAAGCCTATCTGATGTTATCCTGATGCCAAATGACTTCGAACAGGCGATAAATGACATGCCCATGCACTCTGTCCCAGGGCCAGACTCATGGAACTCCGTGTTCATCAAGAACTGCAAGAAGCCCCTATCACGTGTTTTAACATCCTATGGAGAGGGAGCATGGACACTGGGGTCGTCCCACAGTTACTAAAAACAACAGACAGCCCCCACTCCACAAAGGGAGCAGTAAAGTAATAGCAAAGAGCTACAAACTGATAATGCTAACATGGCATTGGGAGAAAAGTGCTCTCATGGATCGAGTCATGGCTCACAGACAGGAAGCAGAGTGTGTCCATAAATGGGGTTAAATCCGAGTGGGGATCTGTAACAAGTGGCGTTCCACAGGGATCAGTCTTGGGCCCGTTGTTGTTTATAATATCAATGATCTTGATGAGGGAATTACTAGTGATATGAGCAAATTCGCCATGACACAAAGATAGGTAGGATAATTGATTCAAACGTAGACATTAGGGAACTTCAGGAGGATTTAAACAAACTATATTCTTGGTCAGAAAAGTGGCAGATGCAGTTCAATGTAAATAAATGCAAGGTTCTGAAGCTCAGGAGTGTCCATAACCCTAGCACTTACAAGTTAAATGATGTAGAACTTAGCCATACAGATTGCAAAAAGGACTTGGGGGTTATGGTGAGCAGCAACCTTAAACCAAGACAGCAATGCCTAAGCATACATAATAAGGCAAATAGATTACTGGGATTTATATCAAGAAGTGTAAGCAACAGAAGTCCAGAGGTCATACTGCAGCTTTATACATCATTAGTAAGGCCTCACCTAGATTATGCAGCTCAATTCTGGTCTCCATATTACAGAATGGACATAAATTCGTTAGAAAACATTCAGCGTAGGATGACTAAATTAATACATAGCATTAGAAATCTTCCTTATGAAGAAAGATTGAAGACTCTTAAGTTACATTCACTTGTTAGACGAAGAATGAGGGGAGACCTGATCGAAGTGGAAGATAGGTATTAATAAAGGAGATATTAATAAGGTCTTGAGGATATCTCCAAGAGAGGACCCACAGTAATGGATTCAAATTAGATAAGTTTAGATTTAGAAAGGACACAGGAAAGTATTGGTTTGGAAATAGGGTAGTTGATGAGTGGAACAGTCTACCTAGTTGGGTTATTGAGGCTAGGACTTTGGATAGTTTCAAATTTAGGTTGGATAAGTACATGAGTGGGAGGGGTTGGATTTGAGTGGGACTTGCACATCAGAGCTTATTTCTTGGGTAGCATTGAAAATTGGGTTGGTCAAATGTTTTGTTAGTGGGATGAATTGTAAAGGACTTGCCTAGTATGGGCCAACAGGCCTGCTGCAGTGTTCCTCCTTTCTTATGTTCTTATGTAACATCCCATATCATAAAAATCTTTGAAAGGGTCCTAAGAAGCAAGATTGACACCCATTTAGATACCCATAAATTACACAACCCAGGGCAGCATGGGTTTAGAGCAGGTCACTCCTATCTGTCCTAACTACTGGATCACTACAGCAAGGTCCTAGATGCACTAGAAGACAAAAAGAATGCAGATGTAATATACACAGACTTTGCAAAAGCCTTCAACAAGTGTGACCATGGCATATTAATAGCACACAAAATGCGTGCTTAAGGAATAGCAGGAAAAGCTGGTAGATGGATCTATAATCTCCTCACAAATAGAACACAAAGAGTAGTAATCAACAGAGTAAAGTCTGAGGAGGCTACGGTGAAAAGCTCTGTTCTGCAAGGCACAGTACTCGCTCCCATCTTGTTCCTCATCCTCATATCTGACAGGCAAGGAAGTGAGCCAGAGCACCGTGCCTTCCTTTGCAGATGACACCCGAATCTGCATGACAGTGTCTTCCATTGCAGACACTGCAAGGCTCCAGGCGGACATCAACCAAATCTTTCAATGGGCTGCAGAAAACAGTATGAAGTTCAGCGATGAGAAATTTCAAATACTCCGATATGGTAAACATGAGGAAATTAAAACTTCATCAGAGTATAAAACAAATTTCAGCCACAAAATAGAGTGAAAAACTAAGGTCAAAGACCTGGGAGTGATCATGTCAGAGGATCTCACCTTCAAGGACCTTAACATTGTATCAATCGCATCTGCTAGAAAAATGACAGGATGGATAATGAGAACCTTCAGAACTAGGGATGTCAAGCCCATGATGACACTCTTCAGGTCGCTTCTTCTATCTGGGCTGGAATATTGCTGCACACTAACAGCACCTTTCAAGGCAGGTGAAATTGCTCACCTAGAAAATATACAGAGAACCTGCACAGCACTCATAACGGAGATAAAACACCTCAATTACTGGGAGCACTTGAAGTTTCTGAACCTGTACTCCCTGGAATGCAGACAGGAGAGATACATGATTATATACACCTGGAAAATCCTAGAGGGACTAGTACCAAACTTGAACACGAAAATCACTCTACGATAGCCAAAGACTCGGCAAACGATGCAACATCCCCCCCAATGAAAAGCAGGGATGTCACTAGCACGTTAAGAGACAACACAATAAGTGTCAGGGGCCCAAGACTGTTCAACTGCCTCCCAGCATACATAAGAGGGATTACCAATAGACCCCTGGCTGTCTTCAAGCAGGGACTGGACAAGCACCTAAAGTCGGTACCTGACCAGCCGGGCTGTGGCTCGTACGTTGGATTGCGTGCAGCCAGCAGTAACAGCCTGGTTGATCAGACTCTGATCCACCATGAGGCCTGGTCACAGACCGGGCTGCGGGGGAATTGACCCCTGGAACTCCCTCCAGGTAAACTCCAGGAACTATAACTCCATCTAGGTAAATCAGTAGTAGGGCCAGGAGCAATAGCCAAGCACTCTCATTAGGGGCAACAACCCTTTCATACAATTAAAATTTGAGATTAGAAGATGACTATGTAATGTTCACTCATCCTGGCCAAGAACTGCTTTTGATTGTCAGATGCTGCTAGGGAAACATAAGGGCTAAGTGTTCCAGGTAAACTCCAGGGCGTGTTTGTCTCACAGCCATGGAATGCAAACCATTCAGTCAGTCCTGAAATTTACAACTTATTTTTCAAGGCTAGTATTTACATTTTTGAAAATAAAAGCTTGTAATAAGCTTGATTTTTTTTAATTATTTTGAAGTGTAATGCTACTATTATCTTATGAATGGGAAATACTAACTCTTAAGTATCAGGTCTTCTTTAATATTGTGTATTGATGGTCAAAATTTAGCCCAATTTGATTCACATGGTAATATGTTGACTTTTTTTACACTAATTATGGGATACAGTAATGTCTGTCCTGCCCTTCCAAGAAAGTGCCTTTATGCTGGTGACTGGTTCTTGATCCATGGAATTGGAACTACCCTTCCCTTAGGTCAAACCTGTTACCTCTCATTCTGCAAGTACTGTATTATCTTCATCAATTTAACACTTCCCCATGAATATATAATATGTCCACCATGTTTCTTAATGTATGGTAATTCTTTATGCACATGAGTTGTCTTTGTAACTTTTGTTATTGTTTGACGTAGCACTGCGATGCACCACTCATGCATGTACTGTGATGGTTACCTGTTGCTGTGGGTTTTTCTGTGTTTCTCAACAATATTGGGTGACATAAAATGTTTAGAAATTAAATAAAAATCTTCCACTTTTATTAAACTTGATCAATTTCTATCTTTAATTGTAAAATTACTTCATACACCGTATTTTTTATGCTGAAAATATATTTAATGTTTTTTTTCATCGTTTCTAATCATTTTTTTGTTTCTGTATTACTTTACATGCAAATAGTGTGTGCATGAAATGGTTATAATGAGAGAGTAAGTGTGAGCATGGGTTTAGTGTATATTTGTATATATGTATGTACATATTCCAGATGGGTTCCATAGGCCCTCTGCCACAGAAATGCTGTACTGTATACATTATATGCAGTATATTATATGTATATGCATATCTTTGTTTTCCAGAACTAGATTAGATTTTGCCACCGAAGTGGCTAGTTTATTGTGCACCCCATATCCATCCTGTGGACGGTAGCGCAAGAGCATATGGATACACAAAAGGCCTAGGAACTAGGCCCCAAAGGGTTTTTCTTAAACAAATTGTTATAACTTTTAGAAAATGTCTTAATATCCTAACCTTAACAGATTTCTATGATGTTAATTAATACATATTATAACATCAGTAAAAATTTAGGCGGACCAAATAGCCTGGGTTATATTAAGCTGAGTTATATTAAGTTTATTTTAATATTATTTTTAAGATTGTTTTAATATAAAATTTAAACCTCTGTAATGATAACTTGAGTTAATATATGATTAATAAGACCTTTTATAATCTAAAGAAAAAAAAACTTGAAACAGAAATATTTTACCCTTCCTTCATTTTTCTTAATATCTTGTTAAATGTTTATTAGTGTAAAAAAAAGGGAGATATTTACACAAATATGTCCTTTATTACTATTGTATATTGCTGATTTTCAGTTAACTTTTAAGTACATTTTATTAATTTAAATGCAGTAATTTTATTTAACATTATTTCTATTTATTAAAAGACTTAACAGATTTCTTTGTTTCAGCAGTAGTGGGCACCTAGCTGCAGGAGCATCTCAACCAGATCACCTCTCAGGTACAGAATATGACAGTCAGCATGTCAGGTCACAGAAGCAGGATGGAGCCAGTGCTAGTGAACCAGTATCCCCAACTCCCAGGTCCCCTGACAGCCAGTGGAGAAACACCCAGAGCCTAGCCACTCTAAATGCTTCAAATAATAAGCCTGCAAGATCTCAATCTGCAACTTCTCTTCCACTTGGTGAGGGGGAGAGTACCTCAATTTATAAACCTTTCAGTGGTGATCTGAACATATTTATTGAAGAAGCATCTCCAGAAAGTGCAAGTCCAGTAAAAAAATTCAGTTTCCTTCAAACTGAGCAAACATCTGGAGAAGCTGACATTCCAGAACTATCCATTGCAAAGGATGCATTAGAAACAATTATTGAAGGTCCATCAGAAACTATGTCAGAAGATAAATTTGACTTGGTGGCAGAAAGTAGAATGAGGCTTATTTCAGAAAGTGAATTAGAAGCAATACCAGAAGCTGATGATACTTATAGTGCTCTTGAAAGAAAGAAACTGTTGGACGATTGACTAAAATTTAAATAGACCTGTTATTTTCCAAAGTTACAAGTTTTCTCAACATTTGCCTATCATTCAGTTTTTATGATTATAACAGCTGAAGTGTAACTTTTACAGTAATACTGATAATGCTGCTATATCATCTGCATATTTTAACTTATCCAGCAGAGTGGCACGAACAGTCCAGTAGGCCTCTTTAAAATTGCACATTACCCATATTAACCTTTCATCCTCTTACCTCCTCACACACTCCACATTATTCTGAGTCCTGTCTCCTACCTTTTATCTTCATTTTGGTATTCCATTTGTCATCCTGTTTTCTTTGATATTACTTATCTTAATTTTTTGAATATGCTGGCTGTCTCCCACAGAGGTTGAGTGAACCCTCCACCCCTTCCCCAAAAAAGGGATAAAACATTCACCATCATTAATTCACTATATAGCTATCTTCCCAAATATGCACTGACATCACAGTTCACATAACTCTCCTAACTGAAACATCCTAACCTCTTAAGAATGCAGGCACTGTACTTCCCACCTCTGTGACCTGAGTCCAGTTAACCAGTTTCCCTGAATCCCTCCATGAGTGATAACTTGCTCACCCCAGCACCCCTCAGTGGAAGTTCTTTAATGTCTGTGAGAAGCTCTTGATCCCTTTTCTTGTATTGAACCTGATGACTCATTCCCCCAGGAGCTGTATGACGTACATAGATATAGCATGCCTCATGAATGTAATAGTGCAATAATAATAATAATCATCATCACAAACATCATGTCAAATTCCTAAAACCCTGCGAATCCATTCACCCCAGTTTAACATAGTGTGTTGCTCACATACACACCTGGCTACTCAAACTCCTACCACCTAAAACTTCCTTCATACCCTCCTTCCAACCCTTTCACATGTTTCCTTCCATAACTCTCTTCACTGTCATGACTATTCCTGACATTGCTTTTATGTAGTACATTAACGGGAAATTGTAACAAGCTACCACCAAACAATTTTTTGCTGTTTTTAAATATCTGAATTTGGATACAACATTGTCTTTATTTAGATACTAATACTATTGTCTTCATTTATTGAACTGTATTCACCTCCTAAACATGTAACTAATATTCTACAGTGTCTTGCTTATATATTGTCATGTCCATGCACTAACATCCCCCACTTTTCATTCTCTTTTTCCTTAAAAATTAATCTGAGGGAAATCATGACATCTAATAGCCTCAAGACAGCCTTTTTGAAATACAACCTCTCCTCGCTTAGCAACATACGCGTTTACCAATGACATGGACTTACGACGGGTTCTCTGACCATTATGCATACCTAAATAATGTATATTAGAGCTGATTTTCTCTATTCTCTTATTCCAATACACAGTACACTACTGTATTAACATTTAAAAATATACTAAAAATGTTTAAATGGTGCCAAGGTGACATTAAAACAATATCAAAGATAGTTGACACAAATCCACTACCATTATAGCATACTCCTTGCTTAGTGACGAATTAGTTTATAGACATATACTTAGGAATGGAACTTTGTTAAGTGAGAAGAGGCTGTATTATGTCATGACATATAAATGATTCCTATAATTATGTTAATTAGGAGTAAATAATAAAACATACGAATTCAAAGTTTTATTACAATTCAGATATGTTTTAATTAAAATTTATTAAAAATAAAAAAAATACAGTATACAGCAGTAATTAATTCCTCCCAAAATAATGATATATATAGTGTGATTTTTGTTAAATCTATTTTCAGTAATAACCAAGTACAGTAGGGCCCCACTTATACGGCGGGTTAGGTTCCAGGCTGTCGCCGGAAAGCAGACATCGCCGGAAGCAGAACACCATTTTTTTTCCATTTATAAATGCATATAAATGCCAGACAACAAGTTTACACTAAATTATATTAAGTTAGTAATAGAACTAGGCATTAAAAACACAAAGTAAAATACATTCACAGTAAATTCATTACTTATCTTAAAGTATTTGTAATCTTAATGTAGGGAGAGAGGTGAGTAGTACTTGTAGGAAGTCAGGTGCAGGTAGCCCAGGTGTAGGTAGCCCTATATACGATATTTAAAACATCCCCGAGAGGTAAAATACACATATAGTACACTCATTATTTACCTTCAAATATGTGTAGTCTTAATATGGGAGGAGAGGTGAGTAGTATTTATTTGTAGGAAGTCAGTGTAGGTAGCCGGTAGGTGTAGCCCACCTGGACTACACCTACTGGCTACCTACACTGTGGGCCAGAGCCATATTATTAACATCGACATGCCTTGTTCACTGAATTTAATCATTTCTAACAACTACCTTTAGATGCCATCATAAACGAAGGTAGAAGTAATGAATAATTCATGCCGAAAATTGTAAACAAAAGCAGAGTGAGGGAGTGGCTGGGCCAAACGCAGATTCATACACGTTTTCTCTGATGGCTGAGCAAAGAAAACGTAATGTTGTTCCTCCACCTGGCTACCACACACATCCACAAGTATTATCAGAGCACACATAAAATATGCAATAAATGCCAGACAACAAGTTTACACTAACTTATATTAAGTTAGCAATGGAAAAAGCCATTAAAAACACAATAAAAGATAAGATACACACAGAGTACACTTATTACTTACCTTAAAATATTAATATTAATGTGTGAGAGGTGAGTGGCAGGGTATTTATTGAATAAAATCAGAATGGCATGCCATCATTCTCTAACTTGGCACTTAAAGCAAAAGGCTTACGACTTCTCTTTTTATCACAGCTAAGCTTAGACGCCATTGTCAATGAGAGCCAACTTGTTAACGAAAGAGTAAATGAGAGAGAGAACGAAATACAGAGTTCAGACAATGTAAGAACACAAAGTGAACAGGTAGTGGACGATCACTTGGTCAGGCGAAATAAATGCGTATTAATGTGTGTGTACTTTTAGTTCATTCACGTCCGTTTGTAAGAGTTTGTAAAACATTTACCTCAATATTTTTTTATTATAATAATAATTACCTCACAATACAAATACTCTTACATTGTGTACAAGTTGTACAAGTTAGTTCAGAATAAACAAACAGCAACACACCATTTTTAGAGTGAAGATAATAATAAATTATTATTATTATTATTAATAATAATAATATTAATAATATTATTATTATTATTATTATAAAAAGCGCTAAACCCACAAGGGTCGTGGATTGCTATATATAGAGTGAAGGCATACGAAAAGAATACTTTTCTACAGTTACCCCCCAGTGTTTGACTAGAGAAAATGTAATTCTTCCGACACTACCTACACAGCTGCTTTGTAAACAAATCTCATATTTACATCAATTTTTATTCTGTGAGTGCATGTATCATGTTTATATGCTATGTAATGGGTTTCATATATAATTTTGAGGAAAATATCATAGATGGATTAATGAAAATGCCTATATTGATGTAAAATAAGACATTTAGTGTTCCCAAGAGTGATTATTATTATGTAGTATTGGCGTCATGAGTAGAGAGAGACTTAGCGATTTTAATGTGTACCTGCACACCAGCACAGTGTGTAAGTATATTTAGGTATAGGTACACTTAAGTATAATTATCAGAGTACATATAAAATATGCAGTAACTTTAAAACACTTGAAATTTTTGGAAAGTTTCCTGACATGATAGATGTGGTCACGGAAAATGTAAACAAACCGGGTGGGGGGCACCGTATTTGAAAGACCGCTTGCCGTATAGCAAATTTTGGTCATAATTTGACATCGCCGTATTAGCGGAATGCCGTAAGGCAAAACGCCGTAAAGCGGGGCCTTACTGTACTGCAACTTAACTGGAAACAACATTAATGATGTTACATCCTGGGGAGGGAAGAGCATTAAATCCAAAGGATTCATACAGCACCAGGGGAAATGGGAGGCAATCAGGTTCAATCCAAGGATTGGAAGGGCAGGTTCAATTCCTTGAATCAAGAGCTTTTCATGAAGCAATCTCCCTTGAGGAGCTAATTCCAATGGAATCATGTGACAATGGATCCATGTGCACACGTACCTTTCACATAGCTCTGATACACACTGAGTTCATCTCATCAGCCAGGAGGGTAGTGTCATGAAAAGTTAAAAGCCCCCTTCTTCCCCAAGCTGTACAGAAATGTTGAAATTAAGCATTCATCCAAAACCATACAGGTGCAGATAAATGTTTATATAATTCATGTTAAATAATATAGAAATAAAAGTGACTTCAACAAAGTTTACTATAGAAGGCAAACTACCACTGACACCATGCTCATACAAAATTATGACTCATTAATACACTAAACAATAGCCTTATGACAATATAATTTACTACAAAAGGGCATATGGCAATTATATATGATGACCTTGATTTAGCTACCATATGCTGGCAAGCACAATAAGCATCCATATTGAAATATGAATGACATTATATAATAGCCTTGAGACAGCCTTATTGACATCTTTTCTTGGCTTGTTCTGTTTACACTGTCATATCTTTACAGTATGTATATGTGTGTGTTTTTCTGAGATACAGTATTAGTTAATATCCAACACTCGGACTCTGCTCTGTTCCAGCAAAAATTCCTTGCAGTTAAATTATGCATTTGTTAATTTTTGATTCAGTGTGACCATACCTCATATCACTGGTTTTTTCAACTATACTATGTCTTCAAGATTTCATGTTGCCTGTTTCACCTAGTTTACTAATATGATGCTACATGTACAGTACTGTATTCCTTAAATAAATTATATCAACAACTAGAATTTTTTTTGTCCACTCCTTTTTTATATTTCATTCCGTAGTTTAATACTGGAAAGAATATATCCTCATACACATTTCTTTACATTTATTGCAAGGTTTTCACTTTCTCATACTCCTTGAAGGAGATCATTGTCTATCTCTGGTGAATTAGTACTATGTACCTTAAAAAACTGGTATACAGTACTTTTGTGTAATTCATTTTTTTGCTTGTAGCAACCCTCAAGAGGGTCAATTTCCATGACAAAAGGGTTCTTAATCCAAGAAACTGAACCTTTTGTCCCCTTCCTCAGATCAAATCTAATTACTCCTAAGCCTCCCTCTCTCCATTTGGTATCATTAGTACAGAAAGTTCCCTTTATGTGGTATCTAGCTCTTAGTCTAACAGGACCATTATTAGCCCCCATTCTAATGTAGCTTCCTTGGCAGTGCTGGGGTATTTGAGTCATTTCAACTGATGGAAACTGCATCGTTTTAGGGCATATCAGGTAACCCTCTGGGAGATATCAAATGGCCACCTAACAGGGTCTGATAATGTGAGTATTACTGGAAGTTGCCTGTGAATCTACAACTGGCAACTGTTGTACGACTGGCAACAGGTGTACGACTCCTGCCATTCATTCTGATTTACCCATCACCATTATAAGCTGAAAGACAATTGCACAATTAATGCTCTTGTCTAATTAGGTTTTGCTGAGCCTAAATAAATAATATAACCTAATTCTGGATTCCTAGTGACAGATATACCCTGTGCTGATACCTGCATAGACACGGACTCTTCAAAACAAACAACCATTTTTTGGGAAGCCTTGTTGCCCAAACATGACCTCCTACAAGTTTAGTGCTTTCCTTAAATATGCTGGTAATAGCACAGTACAACTTTGGTGGGAGGTAAATGATTTAACATTAGTTGTGATAAAGAGGGAGATTATTTCCTTGTGGGCCTTAGACAAGGATGTGTGATGTCACTGTTATTGTTCAATATATTTATAGATGGAGTTGTAAGAGAAGTGAATGCGAGGGTCTTGCCAAGAGGTGTGGAGTTAAAAGATGAAGAATCAAACACAAGTGGGAGTTGTCAGTCACTTTTTGCTGATGACACTGTACTTTTAGGAGATTCTGAAGAGAAGTTGCAGAGGTTAGTGGATGAATTTGGTAGGGTATGTAAAAGAAAATTTAAGTGAATATAGGAAAGAGTAAGGTTATGAGGATAAAAAGATTAGGTGACAAAAGATTAGATATCAGATTGGAGGGAGAGTATGGAGGAGGTGAATGTATTCAGATATTTAGGAGTGGACGTGTCAGCAGATGGGTCTACGAAGGATGAGGTGAATCATAGAACTGATGAGGGGAAAAGGGTGAGTGGTGCACTTAAGAGTCTGTGGAGACAAAGAACTTTGTCCATGGAAGCAAAGAGGGGAATGTATGAGAGTATAGTTGTACCAACACTCTTGTATGGGTGTGAAGCATGGGTGATGAATGTTGCAACGAGGAGAAGGCTGGAGGCAGTGGAGATGTCATGTCTGAGGGCAATGTGTGGTGTGAATATAATGCAGAGAATTCGTAGTTTGGAAATGAGAAGGTGTGGGATTACCAAAACTATTATCCAGAGGGCTGAGGAGGGGTTGTTGAGGTGATTCGGACATGTAGAGAGAATGGAACAAAACAGAATGACTTCAAGAGTGTATAAATTTGTAGTGAAGGGAAGGTGGGGTAGGGGTCGGCCTAGAAAGGGTTGGAGGGAGGAGGTAAAGGAGGTTTTGTGTGCAAAGGGCTTGGACTTCCAGCAAGTGTGCATGAGCATATTTGATAGGAGTGAATGGAGACAAATGGTTTATAATACTTGACGTGCTATTGGAGTGTGAGCAAAGTAACATTTATGAAGGGGTTCAGGGAAACCTGCAGGCCGGACTTGAGTCCTGGAAATAGGAAGTAGAATATCTACACTCTGAAGGAGGGATGTTAATGTTGCAGTTTTATAACTGCAGTGTAAAGCACCCCTCTGGCAAGACAGTGATGGAGTGAATGATGAAAGTTTTTCTTTTTCGGGCCACCCTGCCTTGGTGGGAATCGGCAGATGTGTTAATAAAAAATGATGCAGTTTTACGAGGTAGAGTAGAGAGGTACCTTTACCAAATGTAATAATAGCATGTTCAGATACCTGGAGAGGGTTTCGGGGGTCAACATCCCTGCGGCCTGGTCTGTGACCAGGCCTCATGGTGGATTGGCCTGATCAACCAGGCTGTTACTGTTGGCCTGATCAACCAGGCTGTTACTGTTGGCCTGATCAACCAGGCTGTTACTGTTGGCCTGATCAACCAGGCTGTTACTGTTGGCCTCATGCAGCCTGATGAATGAACCACAGCCCGGCTGATCAGGTACTGACTTTAGGTACCTGTCCAGCGCCTTCTTAAGACAGCCAGGGGTCTCGAACGAACGAACGAACGAAAGTTCAGGTAAGATCCCAAATGGGATGAGCGGGGAAGACGGGACAGACGAAGAATAGTGCTGGAGAGGAGTGTTCTTAGTTGTAGAAATAGAGCCAGGGCTTAGCCCAGCAGCTAAGTCAATCGTGGGACAGACATTGAGAACACACACAGCCGTCTCTTCTGCTGGGACTCCGGTGGGTGAGTGAGGAAGTGTGGGCAGACGTAGAATAGTCGGTGAGAGGAAGGTCTTGAGTTGAAGATGAAAGAGCCAGGGCTAAACCCAGCTGCGTGGCACTGCGAGGCAGTGTAGAGAGGGCATGTTGAGGACATAGAGGAGAGAGCAGACTGCAGACAGTGCTCGCTGGCTGATATGCTTCAGGCTGAGGTGCTGTAAGCCGGCAGCCTTTGTATAATAATATCAGGCTGAGGTGAAGAGCTGGTTTGGACGTCACCTGGAGTTTACCTGGAGAGAGTTCCGGGGGTCAACACCTCCACGGCCCGGTCTGTGACCAGGCCTCCTGGTGGATCAGAGCCTGATCAACCAGGCTGTTACTGCTGGCTGCATGCAAACCAACGTACGAGCCACAGCCCGGCTGGTCAGGAACCGACTTTAGGTGCTTGTCCAGTGCCAGCTTGAAGACTGCCAGGGGTCTGTTGGTAATCCCCCTTATATGCTGGGAGGCAGTTGAACAGTCTCGGGGCCCCTGACACTTATTGTATGGTCCCTTAACGTGCTAGTGACACCCCTGCTTTTCAGTGGGGGGATGTTGCATCGTCTGCCAAGTCTTTTGCTTTCGTAGTGAGCGATTTTCGTGTGCAAGTTCGGTACTAGTCCCTCTAGGATTTTCCAAGTGTATATAATCGTCAGGTGTTGGGAGGCTCACGTTATGTGATGCGGAAGTGTGTTGTGCGTTTGGGTACACTTTGCTTGTGATGGAGCCACTCTTGAGTCTTTTGAAGTCTCTCTTGGACATGTGGAATAGTTGCATTCTGAGGTTGGAGCAGTTCAGATTCGTCACGAGGTAAGATAGTGCGTTTTCAAAAGGAATTTGGTGAGGTTTGGTGCAGGTGTACTTAACAGCTCCTTCTTTCATTAAGTGGAGCATATCAGCTGCGCTCATTTCGGTTGGGAGGTTGGGGATGGTGTAGAAGGTTAGAGACCCATTAAAGGCTTGGCTTAGGTAACGGTTGCCTGTGGTTTCTTCTCGGTTACTTCTTCGACTAGTACTTCTTCATTGTCCGAGGGTTGTTCATAATGTTCTGGTTCTATTTCGTCTTCTGTGACTGTGTTGAGAGGAAGCAGGGAGTGTTGGTCGGTTGTGGTTTGTTGGGCTGGTGGAGGGTGGTGAAAGGTGGCAGTAGACGGTGGTGTTGGTTCTGGAGTAGAGTCTTGGTCAGAGATACGAGTAGAACCAGGGGTTGAGGTGAAGTTAACAATGTCTGGAATTAGCTTGAGGAGGTCTTGTGATGGTGGCGAGTCCGGAAAGTTGAAGTTTGGCATGTTGTTAAGGCGAAACAGTTCATTGATTGTGTTGAATGAGCCTGGGTTTGCAGCATTAGCGAGGTGTGCATACATCATACAGTATAGCATCTTGGATGGAGCAGCGTCAGGAAGAGCAGAGAGGGACTGGCTGGGTGGAGATGATTGTTGTGTAGCTTGAATGAGTTCGGTGGTATCTGATTGAATTTTTTCAATGGCGGCGTATGTTGGCGATTTAGGGTTGTTGTTCTTGGTTTCTTCAATGATTTTCTTAGACAGGACTTCTTTACGTAGAGGGCATTTTGCTGCAAGGGTGTGGTGAGTACCCTTGCAGTTGAGGCAGGTAGGAGATGTAGTGGTAGTAGAACATTCCTTGAAGTTATGGCCGTCTTTACCGCAGTTTGTGCAGTACTTCTTCCCTTTCAGAGGACAGTCAGGCGTTGAGTGGTGATAGGAGTAGCAGGTCCAGCATGGCGAGGTGTGGGCGAAACGTTCGGGTTCTGTGTGACTTGGATGGATATGATAGTAGGAGATAGCTAGGCCGTCAGACAGTGCTCTAGTAGCCATATCAATGTTGGAGAAGGTTAGCTTGATCATTGTAGAGGCGCTGGGGATTTTGGTGATATGTTCAATCGACGCCCAGGTATTTTCCTCGATAGAGGTCTTGAGATCCTCAGTCGATAAAGAAGTGACGAGTTTGTCCAGCCGTTTGACAAAAACGGAACGTTTCGCCAGCAAAAAAGGTGAAGGGGAGATGGTGAACTGTCGGTCTTTGAGGGTTTTCATAGAAGTGTCGACGATCAGCTTTGAGGCTTCATAATCGTCAGTACAGACGACGATGAATGAGTCTTTCGTCGAGTGGATGGCTGTAAATATAACCTGTAGGCAAGTCTTTACAGCGGCCCCCTCAAGGAAGGTTCCTTGATGTTGGTGAGGGGCTCTTGATTTAGGGAATTGGATCTGTGCTCCAGTTCCCCGAATTAAGCCTGAATGCCTTCCACATCCCCCCCCCAGGCGCTGTATAATCCTCCGGGTTTAGCGCTTCCCCCTTGATTATAATAATAATAACTTACAGCGGCAGCAAGTGAAA